ACTGAACCAGAGCCCTCAGCCCCAGGCTCTCCCACCCCAACAGGAATCCTTATACAGATAAAGGATGGCACATAGCATGGCATCTATTATGTGGCCCATCCACAGGAAAATCCAAACTTCCTGCTATCTCATGGCACAGAAGCCATTACTCTGCCCCACATACATACTCTCAGAGGACAGTCAGGCTCCACAAAAGTCCCAAGACAGGGAGGGGATTTTACCTTTGACTTTTCCTCATCAGCATCAAAGATGGAGCTCTTTGGCCAGGGAGAAGGTGGAGGTAAGATTTTATCCATCGGTAGTTTAGGATCTTGCTTTATTATTCCTAAAATGTGAAATTCATGATTAAGACGTTGATATTGAAGGATAAAACCTACAAGTCCCTAATTCCTAACAACTCCATATCCTCTTAAGCAGCGAGTCAGGCATTAGCAGAACTAGAGGTCCCGAGGATGGACCCTGCCCTTCATAATTAGCTTTGGGTCCACCTCCCATTTCCCTGGTGACACTCTGCTGTTGTTACTTTTTTGTTTTATTTTGTTTTTTTCTCTAGCTGTCCTGGAACTCACTCTGTAGACCAGGCTGCTGTCAAACTCAGAGATCCACCTGCCTCTACCTCCCAAGTGCTGGAATTAAATGCATGTGCCACCACTACCTGGCTTTTTTTTTTTTTTAATAGCCTTTATCATGGGAGGAATACATACAATCCACAGCATACAGGTAGAGACCAGAGGATAATTTATGGGAGTCAGTCTCTCTACCATGTGGATTCCAGGAGTTGAACTCAAGCCATCAATCTTGGCAACAAGTGCACTCACCCAATGACCCATCTCACCAGCCCCAACACTTTAATTTTGAGGGAAAACAACCAAACCAATCTGCCGCTGCTGCCCTCCTTAGAATATGAAATGCCATGTGAAAGCAAAGGGAGGTGGAGGTAGCAGGCTCTGCTGATGTCCATTGAAGGGGAGTCATCTACTCTCGGAAACAACGCCATTTTCTGTATCTGCTTCCTTTAACTCTTTTAACCTAATCACATAAATTCTGGTCAAAAGAATAGGATCTAGGGGCTGGAGAGATGGATCAGCAGTTAAGAACACTGACTGCTCTTCTATAAGACCCTGGTTCAATTCCCAGCACCCACATGGCAGCTCACAACTGTCTACATCTGACACCCTTACACAGACATATATGTGTAGGCAAAATGCCAATGCACATAAAATAAAAATAAATCAATTATTTAAAAAAAAAAAAAGAAAAGAATAGGCTCCAAGTCACATTAATGGCCCTGATGGAGATAGGACATTTGAAACAGTCCAAAAGATTGTAAGATCACAAAGACACTCTATTGTTCTCTCCTTTAAAAGTTAATTCAAATGGGTAACTGTCATCACCTGGATATGAAACTGCCTCTCAAAAAAGGTATAACTTAAGAAACACGATACAGCTGAAGGCATGTTAAAACAATGGGAAGAATACGATTCTCTTAATAAGCTATGTACGTATGTACCCCAGAGAATCACTCTACATACCGATTCTCACTGCCAAGCTTGCCTACTTTTCTGAGTTATAACTTGTTTGGTTTTTTGGTTTTATTCTTTGCATGTGTAAGGTATGTGAATGTTCACTTGTATGTGAGCACATTTGTGTGCGTGTGTGTAGATGCCTGAAGCTGATGTCAGCTCACTCAATACAGCTAGTCTAGCTAGACTGCTCTCCCAGGAAATACTGTCACTTTGTTCTGAGTGCTAGGATTACAGGTAGTCACCATGCCTATCCTACTTCTATGTGAGTTCTGGGGATTTGAACTCTGGTCCTCAGACTTGCACAGCAAAGGCTTTATCCACAAGCTATCTTCACAGCCCTGAGTTCTAACTTTTTTTTTGGTTTTTCAAAACAGGTTTCTCTGTGTAGCCCAGGCTGGCCTTGAACTCAGAGATCCGCCTGCATCTGCCTCCTGAGTGCTGGGATTAAAGACGTGCGCCACCACTGCCCTGCCTAAGTTCTAACTTTAAAAGCCTTTGAGTATACTCTTAAAAGCCAAAGGGAGAGATATTAGGTATTGTGATCAATCATTTTCCACCATATCATCTCTTTTTTCTTGTTTTTTGAGACAGAGTTTCTCCATATAATAGCCATGGCAGTCCTAGAACTCACTCTGTAGACCAGGCTGGCCTCAAATTCACTGAGATCTGCCTGGGAATTGAACTCAGAACCTCTGGAAGAGCAGCCAGTGTTCTCAACCTCTGAGCCATCTCTCCAGCCCCATTTCAAAAAAATTTTTAAAGACTTATTTTTACTTTATGTACACTGATGTTCTGCCTGCATGCATGTCTGTGTGAGGGTGATGGATCCCCTGGAACTGGAGTTACAGACAGTTGTGAGCTGCTATGTGAGTGCTGGGAATTGAACCAGGGTCCTCTGGAAAAACAGCCAGTGCTCTTAACCACTGAGCCATCTCTCCAGCCCTTTTGAAAATGTGTAGTGTAGTCTGACCTTGAACTTCTGATCCTCCTGCCTCCACCTCCTCCAGCGAATCCTACTGGAGTGTGCCACTACACCCCGACCTTATTCTCTCAGTACCGGGTCTGTACACAGTTGAGCTCTCCCCGCCATAGGACTGTGCACATGCCAAGCCCAGACTTTTACCTGGGCGCCCAGGATTCAAACTCACATCCTCATGCTTGTACACAAGCACAGTTACCTAGTAAGCCACCTTTCAGACGTCATCCTAAGGCCCTCACCCTCTCCACTGCTGCAGGGCCTCCCTACAGCTTCCTGGACTTGTAACTCAGAATATGGTTACTTTCTGTCTTCCTTTTTCCCATGTACCTCCTCCCTGCAGATGCTGAGACTCATAGCTTGCCCATGACCCTTTTGTCTTTTTCTCTCAAACTCGATAAAAACTGTCTTCAGTGTCCCTTTGTGTCTGTTTTATCTACAAGACTAAGAAGTCGTAAAACGGACCCTGATTCCCCAGTAACAATTTCACTAAACATCAACAGCCTTCAAACCCCGTGACACAGCTTACTGGTAGAAAGCTTGCCTAGCTTATACAAGTACTAAATAAAAATAGCCCACCTAAAATAAAATTCTTCTACAGATAGAAAGAAACAACCACAAAACAGCACGTATACATGGTCTGATCAAGGCTTTCTATCACCTCAGGAACTCACAAACTGCCACAAAACCAGGCCAGAACCCGGTCCTAAGGCCTGTACTCTATACTATGCAGCTCCATGACTCCCCAGGGCCCAGAGATGACTGCAAGACCTCCGTCTGATGCAGCCCCCACGAGGGTGAGTGCATGCAGCAGGGGAAAACAGCGGGTGATGAGCCCAGTTCCTTCTTCCAAAGAGCCTGACGTGAAAGGAAACCAAGAACCGGGCGGTGGTGGCGCACGCTTTTAATCCCAGCACTCGGGAGGCAGAGCCAGGCTGATCTCTGTGAGTTCGAGGCCAGCCTGGTCTACCAAGCGAGTCCCAGGAAAGGCGCAAAGCTACACAGAGAAACCCTGTCTCGAAAAACCAAAAAAAAAAAAAAAAAATTAAAAAAAAAATAAAATAAAATA